TGTACAGATATGGCTGTCTATACATATATGGCTGTCTATACAGATATGGCTGTCTGTACAGATATGGCTGTCTATACAGATATAGCTGTATGTACAGATATGACTGTATGTACAGATATGGCTGTATGTACAGATATGGCTGTATGTATAGATATGGCTGTCTATACAGATATGGTTGTCTATACAGATAAGGCTGTCTATACAGATATGGCTGTCTGTACAGATATGGCTGTCTATACAGATTTGGCTGTCTGTTCAGATATGACTGTCTATACAGATACGGCTGTCTATACAGATATGGCTGTCTGTACATATATGGCTGTCTATACAGATATGGCTGTATGTACAGATATGGCTGTCTATACAGATATGGCTGTCTGTAAAGATATGGCTGTATGTACAGATATGGCTGTTTGTACAGATATGGCTGTCTATACAGATATGGCTGTCTGTACAGATATGGCTGTCTGGACAGATATGGCTGACTGTACAGATATGGTTGTCTTTACAGATATGGCTGTATGTACAGATATGGCCGTCTATACAGATATGGATAAGGCTGTCGATACAGATATGGCTGGCTGTACATATATGGCGGTCTATACAGATATGGTTTTCTGTACAGATATGGCTGGCTATACAGATATGGCTTTCTGTACAGATATGGTTGTCGATACAGATATGGCTGGCTATACAGCTAAGGCTGTCTATAAAGATATGGCTGTATATACAGATATGGCTATCTATACAGATATGGATAAGGCTGTCGATACAGATATGGCTGGCTATACAGATATGGCTGCAGCTCCAGGTTTTGGAGATAGGACTGTACGTGGCCCCTAGTTTGGGTTAATTAAATCAGCATGTTTGAAGAGTTTTGGATGAAATCTCAAACTTTACGAGTTCTATTTACAAATAGGTCGTTGTTTACATGAATTACAGACACATACATTTTTGTCACCCTCATAAAATACCATCCACTTTCCCTTTAGCTCATTTGGTAGAGCGTAAGACTAGTAAATCAGGGGTCCCCAGTTCAAATCCTAGCGGAGCAGTGAACAAAATATAGACTTCTAATACATTAGAGCCAACATGTAGTGCATGACCATGGGAAATACTGACAAAAAGATACATTGATACCTTCCTAAGAGTCGCTATGCCGTCTATAAGAATTGGGACAAGATCTTTCCTGGAGGGATTAACTATGCGCCCTGGTTAAATATTAGCTGTTTCCTACCACACATCAAGGGAGAATGTCTCTTTAGCTCTTTAGGTAGGGTGTAAGACTCTAGTAAACCAGAGGTCCCGGATTAGACTCTCAGCGAATGTATTGAACAAATAATCACATCTGTTACATTTTTATACCAGTATGTTTTCTTCATAGAACAAAGCAAGTGACTGTGTTAAATACATATGTATATATAGTATAAATAATTCTCTTGTGTAGTAGCTAGAGATTGAAAATGAACATTTAGTTTGCAGAAAATATAGCTTTTTTATCATATTCAGGGACCAAATGAACAGTAACCCAGTGCTTATAAACCTAAGTCAATATTGATCTTAGTGGTAGACAGAAAAACACTCGGTGCATTGAGGTCAGCTGTGTATGTGATGTAATGTAGCTTGGGTGATCTCATCAACACTAATTACATCTATTTAATTGATTTTATCCCTGGATGCCAGGATGTAAATTTGGAAGTGTTTTTGATCAAGACACATTTGAACTCTTCCAATTCAAACGTTGGAATAGTTCATTATGACATTTCAGGGGTAAATGAGTTAGTTTGATTTTATCACAATCTTAAATTGGGGTGTCTTAACTAATTGAACAAATGTTCGGTCTATCAGTGTTTTTAGTGCAAGCGGAGCGATCGTCATGTCTTCCAGACATATTTCTAGTTTAAACACTATGATGTTGTATGTTTGTAATTTAGTTTATATATATATGTATTGGGTATAGTGCTACAGGTACGACATGGTAGGTATGATTTTGGATATATATAACAGTTAATTAAGTTACCTTCAAAATATTGAAAGAGTATTCATGTTGAAAAAGTCATACATATATAGGAATTATACTTATATTCATTAAGTGTTATGTCTTATCTTCTCAATAAAAAATTGAAGATCACACGGTTCAAAAATTTATTCAACTATATGAAAGAACGCTTTAGAATGTAGTTGATAATACTATACCCTTATATGCACAGGAAAAGATTGTAATTTTAGATAAAAATTCTCATTTTTTTGTTCCATTTTAAATTATCAAATATATAGAATTACTAGTTTCCCTATAAAGTGCATAGAATAGTGCATGCTTTTTTAACTAGAGAGACAAAGATAGGAAGTTAGAAAAATTTAATGGCAGGCTATAATTGCAAAAGAATATCTTGTACAAACTAAATTACTTGCATGAACATGTATTGGATATATATATTTAAATTAGTGGACACGGGTTGAAATAACGCCAGTCTAAATTTAGATGGTCCTGAATGACGTTATATTCCTTTTCTATTTGTTAAATTATATTGCAGATAACATTTGAGTATATTGTGTTATAAATTCTTTTAAAACTGCATGAATTGGATGTCTTTAGAATTATAACCCCAGGACTGCAGAATGACGTAAAGCCTTTGAAGCAAAAAATAAATACACTGATGATTTGATGTACAACACCCATATAGCAATATAGCATTACCTTGTACTGTACTCTTGTTACATGGCAATGTAAAGGACCTGAACAAGGGAGACAATAGGGTAATTGTTTGTAGTTATGGACGAGTTTGAACTATAGAAATGCTGGTTAAGATCTTGTATATATATGTTTTGGAAACAGGAGTTTTAATATCTAAAAATATATTGTAGCCTCTTGTATAAACATTGACTGTTAACATTTTACAGATATATAGATTCGCTGAGTCAGATCGTACCACCAAAAAGCTTATGTGAAAATGTTTGTCTGTTAGATTATGTGCCTTTAATTACAGTACCCTTTGTATACATACATTTTGTACCTTAAGTGGTAACGTGTAAAAAGGGACTTTTTTTTAAGATTGAAGATCTAGATGATTGGTTGGCAGTTTTAAATCCTCACTGTTTTGTATTTTCTTCATATTTGCATTGATAACATTACAATGTTATTATTTTAAGACATATGTATATATACAAGTATCTTATCCTCCTATAATAGTTACTGGTCAAAGGAATATTCGTGTCCATCTGCCACAGTTTACCGGTCATAGTGTTTGTGTTAGGAAACACGGTAGTCTAGTGGTAGGACGTCGGGGCTCGTGACTGAAGGGTCGTGGGTTCGAGTCACAGCACAGCACTGTGTTGTATCTTTGAGCAAGATACTTTGCTCTGCTTGTTCCAGTCTACTCAGCTGTAAATAAGTACGTGGTTGGGCAGTGCTTGAGGTGCTGAATGCTAGCTGTGAGTGCGGATGTAATAGCAACCGGCTATATATGTTCCCCTGAGGGATTTGAGAAAGATATTGGTTGCACAGGTCCTATAACCACGGATAATAATTTGTGAACCGCTTTGAGATGACCTACAAACTATAGGTTGTAATAAAAGCGGTATATAAGAACCTCAAATTATGAAAATTATCGAATTATTGTAGTCCCTATCATAATTAGGTCAAAGGACACATATCTTTTGGAGTTGTTTAATTCTGTTTATTTTAGATTTAAAAAGAAACCCATCAAACTTCATTGTTGTGTTAAAAAAAACCACCTTAATATTTTGTTGCGTTAAAAGTTAGAGTTCTTAGAGCTCTTCACGGGTGTTAAGATGATCAAGTATATAGTATAGATAGGGTTCAAGTTGAAGGAGATTAGCTGGTTATTTAAATATTTTATATACATAATCGATTGTACGATAAAGCATGGGCCTAGTTGTTTTGTCAGCCGATTAGCTGAACGACATATTATTTAGGAAAATATTTCTTCAAAACATTTTTACGGGAAGATTTATTGTTCATGTTGATAGTGTTCAACATATAGAAGGATTTTTTTTTTAAATGGTTAGTTTTAAATGATTCCATTTTCAAATTTTGGTCTAAAGATTTTCTTAACTAACAAAGCTTAACTGAAGGGAGTCGTGAGAAAATACATATTATACTAGTCATATCTGGACACTGGCATTAGCCACTGACGTACAAATTATTGGAGCGTAAAAAATCAGCTGATCAAGTATCGAACCACATGTATATCATACGTTTAAATAACAAGAGTACTAGTGTTGTTATGATGAAGAAGTGTTGTGAATTAATCGTTTTCAAATGTGAATCTTGGATTTTCAATTTGTGTTTCCTATAGTTTAAGGATACAAAAATCACACCATCACTTGGATTTATAATTGATAATTCTGTGATATGTAATTCTGTGAGTTATAAATCTGTGATTTAATTGATTGTTTACTTCTGCTTGTTAGCGGCTCAGGTGTTGATTACATTATATATAATAACCAGGAAATGAACATTGTGCCGCGGACTGAGTACAATAGGCACTTAAGATTTGTCAAAGATAACATCGTTAACACACCATATGGTCTACATCTGGTGGAACCTAATTCGGTTTAATTTAATTGAAAAATTGTGCATTTGTCTAAATCCGATCAGCTGATTTCTTGATAAATAATTGAAACTTATACATAATTTTCCATAGTCAGAATTAATTCATATTTTTTAGTCAAGCTGTTGCACAAGAATTAAACCTACCTATTTAATTTGTTAATTACCTTGATAAAACCTGAGTTTAGTGCTTAAATAAAATATAGCTGGATAGACAATATGTGATACCAATGAACCTGAAATTTAACTGAAATACTTTAAAACTGTGCGGATATAAATCTCGTGGACACTGAAGCAATGCAGAAAACGGTTGTGCGTTACTATCAGGTCTGTGTACTGATCATGATCATGGCCTGGAAGATTGCAGCTTGACCTTTATACTGGAAAACGAGAAAACGGAAGGGTTGTGGTTTACACCGGAAGTTAAACCCTTTCCTTACCGGTAATAAACAATCATGTATTTTGTGTGTATATATGATAGTTACATTTGTATAATAAATTTTGCTCGGATCACAATACGTAAAATAACATTGAGACAACTGTCTCGGTATAAGGGCTATTGTACTCTCCGAGGAATACACGTGTTTGGATTAGAGTGTAACTTATAATTTACTTGAATGATTCTCATTACGTGCTTTCATGACAGTGTGGAAGGAGTAATGCATACAATTGTCCAAGTCTGACAATTTCTATGCAGCAACGTCTGGAAGGACTTTTTGCACTGTACTGATAATAAATTTATTTTGGAGCTACGAGACCATTTTCAACAATCACGCACCAATTTTACAGTGATGACTGGACTGGAAGATATGTTTTAACATAATAGTGCATATTCCCTTACTGATGGAGGTGTATTTTGCTATTGTGTTTTCCAAAGTTGGAAATGTATGTAAAATGTGAAAGTCGTCAGTAGGGAGTCTGTGTTTTTGTTAAATGGGCCTCTTTATCAAGAAGGTCAAAACCAAACCGGACATGAGACCAATATTGGAAAGCAGCTCTTCGTCTCAAGGTAAGGTCAAAGGTTTAGAGGTCACAATAGAACTGGTTAATAGTATCCCAAGGTATATGGTCAGAGGGCAGAGGTCACAGTAGAACTGGTTAATATTATCCAAAGGTAAGGTCAGAGGGCAGAGGTCACAGTAGAACTAGTTAATATTATTCAAAGGTATGGTCAGAGGGCAGAGGTCACAGTAAATTAGGTTTATAATGTTCCAAGGTAAGGTCAGAGGGCAGATCTAGAGGTGACAGTAGAACAGGTTTATAATATCCCAAATTAAGGTCAGAGGGCAGAGGTGACAGTAGAACAGGTTTATAATGTCCCAAATTAAGGTCAGAGAGCAGAGGTGACAGTAGAACAGGTTTATAATGTCCCAATGTATGGTCAGAGGGTAGAGGTGACAGTAGAACAGGTTTATAATGTCCCAAGGTAAGGTCAGAGGGCAGAGGTTACAGTAGAACAGGTTTAATTATATTGTCCCAAGGTATGGTCAGAGGGCGGAAGTGACAGAAGAACAGGTTTATAATGTCCCAAGGTAAGGTCAGAGGGCAGAGGTCACAGTACAACAGGTTTATAATGTCCCAAGGTAAGGTCAGAGGGTAGAGGTGACAGAAGAACAGGTTTATAATGTCCCAAAGTAAGGTCAGAGGGCAGAGGTTACAGTAGAACAGGTTTATAATGTCCCAAGGTAAGGTCAGAGGGCCGAAGTGACAGTAGAACAGGTTTATAATGTCCCAAGGTAAGGTCAGAGGGTAGAGGTCAGATACAGGTGATATATAGGTATACTTACTGTGGACAAAGTTTATCATATAGAATTCAGGGTTCTCACCTATAACACCATTCCTGCCTACCGGGTAAATATCAACAAATAATCTGTACATCATATAAATTGCACCTGTGCACCCACGCCCAAGACTGGACAGAATGTGTAATAATTATTGTTTGAGACATTACCTTTACTGTATTTTATTGTATTATTTGTGCATAAAATGTATGAATGGACATTTGAATCCTGTCTGAATTTGTTATTTAAATATCAGGTGAAAAAAACCTATTCTGTAAGTGTTGCTGATTCAGCAAGTTTTTAAAGTGGAAAATGTAAAATCCACATATAACTTAAGAGCTGTAAAGTAATTAGAATTTAAATCTGAAATAAGAGATACTTTTGTGCAGGATTTCTAACAAATATACACTTTTTTGAAGTTCAAATGTGTGATCATAATACATTGTGTATAGATCTATGCGTAAGGTCATAGGAGTGTATTGCTAAACGGAAATAGGAAGTACATCCCTAGTTGAAAATCCAATATATGGAGACAAGTTGAGTATCAAAATTTCCGCATAATCTAATGTTTAATATTAAAGTGATGAATATTGTATGTTTATTATTGACAGAACAGTGTGTTCTTTCAATATTAAAGTATTTCAAAGCAATCCAGGCATTAATTCAGTTGTTTTTTAATCAATGAGTCACATGTGTCCATTTTTCTGTACTTCAGAAACCGGCTACCTATTTCACCACTGTGAAGTTTTTCAAGAACGATAACTCTTGAATGCAATGACTATGTTTAATGGTTTTATTATAAAATGTCAATCTTAAATCGTTTATAGATAATCCATTTTACACAATTTCAGCATTTATAAAATCGAAATACATTAATGCAATACTTATCTATGTCAGTATCATTTTTTAATTGACATTATTTTGCACACAATTGTGTGTTTCAATTTTTTTTCAAAAGTCACTCCTTTTTACATAAATTTCCTTTTAAAATCCTTAAAATTCAGACAACCTATATTTTTTTTGTGGCAGAAAATTTTCTTTACTTCAAAGCAATATATCTACAAAATTTGAATAAATTCTACTGAGAGATGGCGACACAATCCTATTACCTTAAGGTAGGATATTGACTACCCATTAAGTACATGTATGTATAACTTCAGATAGGATATTTGACTACCCATTACGTATGTATACTAATGGATAGGATATTGACTACCCATTACGTATGTATATACTTAGGATAGGATATTGACTACCTGGCCATTACGTATGTATATACTTAGGATAGGATATTGACTACCCATTACGTATGTATATACTTAGGATAGGATATTGACTACCCATTACGTGTATATACTTAGGATAGGATATTGACTACCCATTACGTGTATATACTTAGGATAGGATATTGACTACCCATTACGTATGTATATACTTAGGATAGGATATTGACTACCCATTACGTGTATATACTTAGGATAGGATATTGACTACCCATTACGTGTATATACTTAGGATAGGATATTGACTACCCATTACGTATGTATATACTTAGGATAGGATATTGACTACCCATTACGTGTATATACTTAGGATAGGATATTGACTACCCATTACGTGTATATACTTAGGATAGGATATTGACTACCCATTACGTATGTATATACTTAGGATAGGATATTGACTACCCATTACGTGTATATACTTAGGATAGGATATTGACTACCCATTACGTGTATATACTTAGGATAGGATATTGACTACCCATTACGTATGTATATACTTAGGATAGGATATTGACTACCCATTACGTGTATATACTTAGGATAGGATATTGACTACCCATTACGTGTATATACTTAGGATAGGATATTGACTACCCATTACGTATGTATATACTTAGGATAGGATATTGACTACCCATTACGTGTATATACTTAGGATAGGATATTGACTACCCATTACGTGTATATACTTAGGATAGGATATTGACTACCCATTACGTATGTATATACTTAGGATAGGATATTGACTAACCATTACGTATGTATATACTTAGGATAGGATATTGACTACCCATTACGTATGTATATACTTAGGATAGGATATTGAGTACCCATTACGTGTATATACTTAGGATAGGATATTGACTACCCATTACATATGTATATATACTTAAGGTAGGATATTGACTTCCCTTTACCTATGTATATATACTAAGGAAAGGATATTGACTTTCCATTATGTATGTATACTTAGGATAGGATATTGACTACCCATTAGGTATGTATACTTAGGATAGGATATTGACTTCCCATTAGGTATGTATAATAATGGATAAGATATTGACTACCCATTACGTATGTATAAAAATACTTAGGATAGGATATTGACTACCCATTACGTATGTATTTATACTTAGGATAGGATATTGACTACCCATTACGTATGTATACTTACGATAGGATATTGACTACCTGGCCATTACGTATGTATACTAATGGATAGGATATTGACTACCCACTACGTATATATACTTAGGACAGGATATTGACTACCCATTACGTATGTATACTTAGGATAGGATATTGACTTCCCACTAGGTATGTATACTTAGGATAGGATATTGACTACCTGGCCATTACATATGTATATGTACTTAGGATAGGATATTGACTTCCCATTACGTATGTATATATACTTAGGATAGGATATTGACTACCTGGCCATTACGTATATATACTTAGGACAGGATATTGACTACCATGGGTGACCTGAAGTACATTTATAATATTTATGACCAAGGATGTAAATAGGTGCAGAATTCTCCTTAACTATTTGCCAAAGAAATGGTCTCTTTCTGAAAACCTAGCAAAATTCATATGTTAATTAGCATATGCTACATCTGTGACACAGTCTATGGTTAAATGTGTTTGATCAGCATATACAGACAACATGATTCACCTGTCTCATCAACGCTACATGTAATTCTGCCAGTGTTCCTATGGTCTATCTAACTCAATGAACTGGTATTGATCATTAGATTATTTGGGAGATATAAACATTACAAGCTCATATATAGTTAATAACGATACTGGATCAGCGACCTTATCGTAGCAGTAGGTCAATACACACACAGAAGTTACATGTAATTATTGAAACCGATTACTAAATCTCTACATCAACTTGTCTTAAAATAGATGTGTGTAATTAACAAAACAACAGGAGCAAATCATCAAGTTTACATTCTGTGAAGAGAACTGAATTAAAGAGCACATAAAGAGTTTTCTTCAATAAACAGTACCCAGATAGTACCAAGATAATACCCCATCCCTATCTGGGAACTATCTGAGTACTCTGATGAGTACTATATCCAAGGTGCTTTCTGGGTTCCATTATTATCTGTGATACTCCAGAGGTTACGTGATACTCCAGAGGTTACGTGATACTTCAGAGGTTACGTGATACTCCAGAGGTTACGTGATACTCCAGAGGTTACGTGATACTCCAGAGGTTACGTGATACTCCAGAGGTTACGTGATACTCCAGAGGTTACGTGATACTCCAGAGGTTACGTGATACTCCAGAGGTTACGTAATACTCCAGAGGTTACGTGATACTCCAGAGGTTACATGATACTACAGAGGTTACGTGATACTCCAGAGGTTACGTGATACTACAGAGGTTACGTGATACTCCAGAGGTTACGTGATACTTCAGATGTTATGTTATACTCCAGAGGTTACGTGATACTCCGGAGGTTACATGATACTCAGAGGTTACGTGATACTACAGAGGTTACGTGATACTCCAGAGGTTACGTGATTCTTCAGAGGTTACGTGATACTCCAGAGGTTACATGATACTCTGGAGGTTATGTGATACTTCAGAGGTTACGTGATACTCCAGAGGTTACGTGATACTCCAGAGGTTACGTGATACTCCAGAGGTTACGTGATACTCCGGAGGTTACGTGATACTCCAGAGGTTACGTGATACTTCAGAGGTTACGTGATACTCCGGAGGTTACGTGATACTACAGAGGTTACGTGATACTTCAGAGGTTACGTGATACTCCAGAGGTTATGTGATACTCCAGAGGTTACATGATACTTCAGAGGCTACGTGATACTCCAGAGGTTACGTGATACTTCAGAGGTTACGTGATACTCCGGAGGTTACGCTCATTTCCGTTCTCTGTACCTCTGGAATATGTCATAGCAAAATCAAAGGCTCATGGTGTATCACTTGTGGATGAGACCAGAAGACTAGTTTGATTATTTGAGGAATCTCTCAGTGGTCAAGGAATGGTAAAATTGTCAGACTTGAAGTCTAGTGTCCCTTTTCTGTAATCTTCAAAGGAAAGATTTTAGTATATCGATTGGTCAGGTTTTTTTACCCGAGACCAATCAAATAGATAGCAGCATGCCTTCAATTTTGCTATGACATACTCCAGGGGTGCAGAGAGTAAAATTGAAGTGAGCGTAAACCCCTCTAGTATCGAGGATTATAATACCCCTTAGTACCAAAAATTACCCAAAAAGCAACTTGGATGTAGTACTCAGATAGTACAGGGATAGTAATCAGAATATACACATATAGGTGTTGACCTCTGAAACCTCCAATGAGGGACTTGAATGAGGGAGTTTTCGAGGGTGATTGGTTACTTTTGGTCAAAATGAGGGAGACTGATCCCTCCTAATTATATAACGAGGGAGGTTTGGCAGCTTTGTAACCATATAATACCCAGTACCCAGATGGTACCTGGTTATATAATAAACCATTCTAAGTCAATGGAAAATATTTCATATTTTAAAATATGACGCTGTGGTGGCCAAGTGGTTAAGGCATCTGACATTCTGCTGCCACTATATAGCTAGCCCTCCAGTCCACTGGGTCGCAGCCTCGAGGCCTGTGTGCACATGGGGCAGTTGCCAGGTACTGACCATAGGTCAATGGTTTTTCTCTGGGAACTCTGGCAGTCCTCCACCACCAAAACCTGTCACGTCCTTAAATGACCCTTGCTATTAATTATTAAAGGACGTAAGACACAAACAAACCAAACTGACCTAAATCAATTTATGGCTAATAGTGAGGTCAAAACTCAGGTGAGTGTACTTCCTGGCTTTTTAGGTCACCTGAGACAAAGTCTCAAGTGACCTATTGCGATCACCTTTTGTCCGCCGTCGCTGTCGTGCGTCCGTAAACAATTTACATTTGACTTCTCCAAAACCCCTGAACCAATTTCAATGAAATTTTGCAGGGACCTTCCATGGACAAAGGTCAACAAAAGAAGTTGCCGGTTTAGTCCCAAGCCCCCAGGGGCCTGAGGGGCGGGGCCAAAAAGGGTCAAATTGACTAAAATTTCACAAATATTTTTCTCCAAAACCCCTGAACCAATTTCAATGAAATTTTGTAGGGACCTTCCATGGACAAAGGTCAACAAAAAGAGTTGCCAGTTTAGTCCCAAGCCCCCAGGGGCCTGAGGGGTAGGGCCAAAAAGGGTCAAATTGACTAAAATTTCAAAAATCTTCTTCTCAAGACCCAGATATGGTCGAATCAAATACTCTTCATAGATGGAAGGGTCTTAAAGTGCTTTAC